ATACAGTAGACTAAGGCATGCTTAAACACTTCTACAGGGATACTCACTCACGTATACAGTAGAGTAAGGCATGCTTAAACACTTCTACAAGGATTCTCACTCACGTATACAGTAGAGTAAGGCATGCTTAAACACTTCTCCTTGGATACCCACTCACGTATACAGTAGACTAAGGCATGCTTAAACACTTCTACATGGATACTCACTCACGTATACAGTAGACTAAGGCATGCTTAAACACTTCTACAAGGATACTCACTCACGTATACAGTAGACTAAGGCATGCTTAAACACTTCTACAAGGATACTCACTCACGTATACAGTAGAGTAAGGCATGCTTAAACACTTATACATGGATACTCACTCACGTATACAGTAGACTAAGCCATGCTTAAACACTTCTACAAGGATTCTCACTCACGTATACAGTAGACTAAGGCATGCTTAAACACTTCTACGCGGATACTCACGTATACAGCAGACTAAGGCATGCTTAAACACTTCTACAAGGATACTCACTCACGTATACAGTAGACTAAGGCATGCTTAAACACTTCTCCTTGGATACCCACTCACGTATACAGTAGACTAAGGCATGCTTAAACACTTCTACATGGATACTCACTCACGTATACAGTAGACTAAGGCATGCTTAAACACTTCTACAAGGATACTCACTCACGTATACAGTAGACTAAGGCATGCTTAAACACTTCTACAAGGATACTCACTCACGTAAACAGTAGACTAAGGCATGCTTAAACACTTCTACAAGGATTCTCACTCACGTATACAGTAGACTAAGGCATGCTTAAACACTTCTACATGGATACTCACTCACGTATACAGTAGACTAAGGCATGCTTAAACACTTCTACAAGGATACCCACTCACGTATACAGTAGACTAAGGCATGCTTAAACACTTCTACGCGGATACTCACGTATACAGCAGACTAAGGCATGCTTAAACACTTCTACAAGGATACTCACTCACGTATACAGTAGACTAAGGCATGCTTAAACACTTCTCCTTGGATACCCACTCACGTATACAGTAGACTAAGGCATGCTTAAACACTTCTACATGGATACTCACTCACGTATACAGTAGACTAAGGCATGCTTAAACACTTCTACAAGGATACTCACTCACGTATACAGTAGAGTAAGGCATGCTTAAACACTTCTACAAGGATACTCACTCACGTAAACAGTAGACTAAGGCATGCTTAAACACTTCTACAAGGATTCTCACTCACGTATACAGTAGAGTAAGGCATGCTTAAACACTTCTACATGGATACTCACTCACGTATACAGTAGACTAAGGCATGCTTAAACACTTCTACAAGGATACCCACTCACGTATACAGTAGACTAAGGCATGCTTAAACACTTCTACAAGGATACTCACTCACGTATACAGTAGACTAAGGCATGCTTAAACACTTCTACAAGGATACCCACTCACGTATACAGTAGACTAAGGCATGCTTAAACACTTCTACATGGATACTCACTCACGTATACAGTAGACTAAGGCATGCTTAAACACTTCTACAAGGATACTCACTCACGTATACAGTAGACTAAGGCATGCTTAAACACTTCTACAGGGATTCTCACTCACGTATACAGTAGAGTAAGGCATGCTTAAACACTTCTACATGGATACTCACTCACGTATACAGTAGACTAAGGCATGCTTAAACACTTCTACAAGGATACTCACTCACGTATACAGTAGACTAAGGCATGCTTAAACACTTCTACAAGGATACCCACTCACGTATACAGTAGAGTAAGGCATGCTTAAACACTTCTACATGGATACTCACTCACGTATACAGTAGACTAAGGCATGCTTAAACACTTCTACAAGGATACTCACGTATACAGCAGACTAAGGCATGCTTAAACACTTCTACGCGGATACTCACGTATACAGCAGACTAAGGCATGCTTAAACACTTCTACAGGGATACCCACTCACGTATACAGCAGACTAAGGCATGCTTAAACACTTCTACACGGATACTCACGTATACAGCAGACTAAGGCATGCTTAAACACTTCTACGCGGATACTCACGTATACAGTAGACTAAGGCATGCTTAAACACTTCTACAAGGATACTCACGTATACAGTAGACTAAGGCATGCTTAAACACACTTCTAGGCGGAAACAGTTGCATACGGACAGTTTTCATCAATCACTCCTGAAATACTGCACAAAAGTTACCTTTCCTTCCCCGTATGAAACAAATTTAATATCATACACATTGCAATTATTACTTTGCTGTCCTTTCGCTTTGAATGCTGTCGTTTAAAATATTTCAGATGAAAAACACTTGTAATCCATTAAATGTCTTAATCCTTCGTTTCAGGAACAAAGAAATATTCTTGAAGCATTATACACTTTAGACCAATGACACAAAGCGTGTCTCGGATACTGGTCTGTCATTTGTTGAGTGAATGTACTGAAGCGCCTTAAAATATATTCGCGTGTTTGTGCGCATTACATTCGGTCTGTTGTTTGTATCGTTTGTACCCTGTGTTGCCAACCGTGTGTATGAAGCCTAGTTTAGATAATACACTTGTTCCGTATACAGTTGTCAGGGAGAGGTTGCGACAACCTGGAATACGTAAACATTATTTATAGCCGTATTCGTGAGATGAAAGCTGTGTTTTGAACTCATTCATGTGTGGAAAATGTAATCTAGAAATGTATTGTGCACTAATGAACCTTTTGAGATTGAAATGCTCTTTATGCAGCGTTTGTGTTTGTGGAAACCAGTGGTACAGGGTTGGGGTGAAATGAGTGTTGTAAATTGCGAGCGTGTACACGTGATTGAGAATGAGAGTAGGCTGAAATGAATTAATTAGAGAGGCGCTGTTTTTCTCAACATCATGAGTGGGCACGCTATTAACCCTCTTTTTGACAATTATGAATCAGTTGTTCTGTGGGTGAGGCGTTACTCTAGCATAGGGGCGTAGTCGTCCGTTAAGCACAATGGCAACACCACATGCCTACATTCCGATATATCACGTTACACTTTAATGGAATGTTATTATTATTATTATTATTATTATTATTATTATTATTATTATTATTATTATTATTCATGTAACTAATTAACACAGTGGACACATGATACCCTCCCCTTTTGTTGTTAGCAACCGGTTGATGAATTGCAAAACAGACATCGTCAAGCGTGGTCGCGGTTCGGTAAGTGTGACACAATAGTGTGTAGTTTGCACTGATGGTCATTGAAACTCACTGTCCGGATAAATGAAGCATTTTATGCAGTATTTATTTCATTTCATATGAATATTGTTTGATAGGCGAGGTTTTCGGTTATGTGGGGTCCAGATAAGTGGTGTTCCATTGTATTGCATTGTACCCCCACCTGATGGAAAGAGTGGGCAAGGTGTGCTGGAGAGATCTCAGGTTAACGTCATTCTGCTAATGAACCTAGAAGGTGCTTTCGTATGTAACCCTTTCAGAACGAGGACGCTGTACTCTGTTTGGTTTAATGATGATAGCAATCACCATTTTGACTATCGTTAATATAATCACAATTTCCAATCGGAAAAGTACACCTTGACCGGAAATAGATAATGAAGTATTAATTGTCAACTATACTTTTCAACCAACCGTCTTTCTGCTGTCTATCACCGTCTTCGTAGTACTCGCACGCAGTTTGTCGTATCCTGTGTCACCGGGTCGTCAAACCAGTCTAGTCACGGTCTGGTGACTGCACCGCTTCTCTCGCTTTAATTTAATTTTCCGGTAGACAACTACACAAGAAGTAAATAATAAATAGGATAGTCCATGTGTCTCGTGAAGTATTATGTTTCTCTCATCTCGTGACGGGGGAAATATCCTCCCTCCCTCCTCTCTCTCTCTCTCTCTCTCTCTCTCTCTCTCTCTCTCTCTCTCTCTCTCTCTCTATATATATATATATATATATATATATATATATACACACACACACACACACAAACACACACACACACACACACACACACACACACACACACTGATACACAGGCAGTGAATCTATAAAGGTAAAATTAGTTTTAAGGCTTTATTTATCATTTAAAATGAATAACATGTGTTTGATGCAATACGATTTGTCAAACAATCTGTAACGTAAAAATATAAATAATATTAATCACATATATATGTTACAACCTATGTGTAAAATCAGTCCCAGTAAAACGGGATTCACGAAGGCAGTTTACAAAATGCCTAAATAGTTCAATCATTTTACAAATTGACTGCAAAATCTGTAACTTTACTTGAGAGATTCACTGCAAAGTATTATAAAATTCAAAAGGATTTAAAAACATTCTTTTTCTTTTAATCCTATCATTTTCAGTGTGCTGACATTCAACATAAATATGTTTGGAATTTGTTATCATAATAAGATAATTGGACTGATTTTTCACTTAATTTGTAAAATTACTGAAATATTTACTCGTTTTATAAATTGCCTGAGTAAAAAGATGACTTACACATTGACTGGAACATGTATGTGTGTATGTGTCGAACACATCACAAATAAAAGTATTTGTTCTCATTTCGTGGGTCTTTTATACGAGTCATATACGACCGTGGACTTAACATATCAGTGCTAGAAGCGCGCCACTGAAAATATTTGAAACAGCTCAGTGAAACGATATCAAGACAAACTGATTTGTTGATCGTGTAGGTAACAGCCGGCTTTCCCCTTTCCCTTGTTTGGCAGAGAGTGCTAATAAGGCACATATGTCAATACTTGGAACCTCCCGAGCCCACCTTATTGTATCGGCTGGTTCCATTTCAATGTACGTAACGTGATATTTGGCAATATGCTTTGATCATGGCTGCTACCTTTTACACGAATATTCTCTTCACGGCACAGCAGTTGTTTACAAGCATTTTTGGTATTGGGGAATACTGATTCAACCTTGTGAGGGACGTACCATTTGATATTCTTGGGATGGGGGTCGGGGTTTTAAAGTAAAATAATAATATAAAAAATGTACGTTTGATACTTTTGGAAAACAAATTGTATTTTTGCAATGTTTTTTTTTTTTTAAACTAAAAATATATCTAGGTTCCTAGTTTTAATCAATAAAACATCTTGTTTTGCACCAGTAGCTGAAAACATATCTAGTCCTCAAACATAATCCCAGAATATCACATGTTAAGTTCCTAAGTCACAGTAAAGCCCCTATACAAAAGTCTCTTATACGCAATTGGTAGATTGATCAATCGTCAGCACTTGTATGTTTCCGTAATCTTTTCGGGAAGTCACACGCTGGGTGACGAGTTCTCTTGTTCCGAAGTGGACACGAGTTTTCATGAATGTGCGGAAATGGACGAATAACGTCCACTGGTAGACTCCGACGCGTTGATACTTCAGTATTGAGTTACACGCTCCAGTTGCACTTCCTCACTGTTTCGAAACAGCGACAATCCCCCATATTTTTATAACTTTCGAGTCGTTCCACTTTGGGCACCTCACTTCATGTTTACCGGAAGTGGTGAATCTCATGACGAACTCTCCCGACCAAATCCGAGTGTCAGATAAAGATGTGTCGAGGTTCCCCGGCTGATGACCCTGCCTTCATACCAGACCGAGTCTAATGGCATATCCCTGCACCATTCTGGAGGCATACCCTGCAAGCTGAGGAAGAATAACATGTCAATGTGCGAAAACCGAAGGACCAACACCATATTTGACAAGCAAGCAAGCGTAAAATTCCTGTCTAGCGTGCAAAGGATCACGAGCTTGCATTAGAAAGGTTGAAGTAGTATTTTGTGAATGAGTGAGAAGATTCAAACATAACTATGGGGGACATGTTACATTACTCTCTAGAACATGTAGTCCAGTGGTTAATGCGTTCGCTAATCACGCAGAAGACCCGGGTTCGATTCCCCACATGGTGCATTTCTGGTGTCCCCCGCCCTGAATATTGCTCAAAGTGGCGTAAAACCATACTAGCGTTGCTAATGGGTGAGTGGGTTGACGCCGCTGGGAAATGTATTTCAGTTATATGACAACGTGTCAGCTGACTCGGGTGAGACCACGTGACATAACAAACAAACGGACGAATCCAAAATTCGAAACCGTGACGTCATGACGTTGTGACGACTGGCTTTCAATACAAAGGTATTAAATCTAATCGCAAAGCTAAACAATGAGGGAATATCTTTGAAACTTAAGAATCTGACTGTAGAGGTTAACAGATTTTATGTAGTCTCCAAATAAGAAGCACCACGTATGATTTATACGAGTTAAGCCGGTACCACAAGGTTCTAAGACTGTGGAGGACACCACACAATACAGCAACCGACTGTCGTGCAACTTGTAATTGTATGTACTTGTTCTCGAGGGTGGCGCTCTAACAAAACTCAAGGCCTACATGGTCAGTAGATGATGGCTGATAATCAACAATCTAGATCTGAGTTTTACGTCAATTACCTTTAATCCATGCAGAATGCATCCGTCCATTTATATCACCTACCGCCTTTGTAGAACACCTACCGTCCTTGTAGAACATGTACCGTCCGTGTAGAACATGTACCGTCCTTGTAGAACTTGTACCGTCCTTGTAGAACACCTACCGTACTTGTAGAACACCTACCGTCCGTGTAGAACATCTACCGTCCTGCAACCTCTTTACCTCTTTACCGGGCAGGATAGTGACTTCGTTATTTACTCACCTTCTGGTCGCTGTGACTAATTAAGTGAATAAAATTCAGTTGACGTTTTTCACAGTGTACCGTTATGTGAGTGAGTGAGCGAGTGAGTAAGTATGGTTTTACGCCGCTTTAGAACACCTACCTTCAATGTAGACCACCTACCATCGATGTCGAACACTTATCATTGTGTAGAACACCTACTACCCATATAGAACAAATATGGTCTTCGTAGAACACCAACGGTCGATATAGAATGCCTACCGTCCATGTAGAACTCCTGCTTTCCATACAGAACACGTATCGGCTTTGTGGAACACCAACGGTCTATATAGAACGCCTACCGTCCTTGCAGAACACTTACTTTCCATACAGAACACATAGTCTATGTAGAACACCAACGGTCTATATAGAACACCTATCGTCCATGTAGAACACCAACTTTCCATATAGACACACACATCGTCTTTGTAGAACAGGCCATATAGTATCCATAGATAACACCTCTTGCCCAGATAGAACACCTACTATCCATATAGAAGACACAATAGAACACCAACGATCAATATAGAACACCCACCGTCCGTGTAGTACATCTACTATACATATAGAACACATATCGACTATGTGGAACACCAACGCTCTACACAGAACACCAACCGTCCATATAGAACACCTACTATCCATGTTGAACACATATAGTCTAAGTAGAACACCTACTATTGATATAGAAGACACAATGGAACACCAACGATCAATATAGAACACCTACCGTCCATGTTTGGCACGTGTCATCCTGTATGAATCCTTGTATGTCGGTGTAGGTCTGATGAGGGCGGGTCCCGTCATGGAGAGCTTCACACAACTTACAAAAATAATTCCCAACGTGATTACCGCCGCCCAGGCGATATTCTCGGGTCCAGTCAAAGTAACTGTTATACGCAGTGTCGTTTTTGTCCAGATACTTGAGGTATTCTGCCAGCTCCTGAATGGTGTTGAAATCACTGATGTCAATGTAGGAGTGTGGTGGCGCCACCTTACGGTAATCCCCGCCGCCAGCCACAATTGGGATCTGCTGGTGGTTCAGCGGAGTTGCAAACTTTTCAGTGATGTAGTCGCGGCAATACGAGTTTTCTAAAGCCATATAAAATTTATAATGCTTAATGTCATCCATGTTTGTCAATTCATAATCACCACATTTCCCATACGTATCTACTTGGATGTGTTTTTGTAATTCTCTCACCACCATCTGTCGTCTCGCTTGGTCGCCGCAGTTACTGGCAACCCAGAAGACCCCCGCTGTCTTCGTGGCTGCAATGTCCTTGACATTGCTTGTTTTCTGGGGCAGCTTCTCTATGCTGAAATAAGGCAGCCGTATGTCACTGTCTGTCCTGTACGATGACGTCCAGTTGAACACTCCTCCGTACGACCGGAAGTCCTTCGCGATGTTAGGGGGTGGTTCGAGATTATGTAAAACCCACACTTGGTCGTTTCTGCGATATTCAGGCATGGGATATCCTAAGAAATAATTCAGTAAATCCATCGCATGAAACACGACAGCGTGACTGTCAGCTATGGCCAACTTATCGCTGGTCAACACACAGTCAGACACAGGGCAGGGCGAAAATGCCGACTCGAAATTTGTTACCCAGGATGCATCACCAAACCATGGCGTCCAGAGCAAGATTTGTAATGTTCTGTTCAAGTTGGTTCTTTTATTGGGGAATGTCTGCACAAAGGTCCCGTGTTTCCGTGTAGCGTTCTTACGAATTTTTGGTAACCACATCTCCGATGTCGGCATGAGTAGATGTGACAGCGACGACAGCAAGACGACGTTGGCGATGAGGATGATAGCAAAGCAGTAGATACACGACTTCAGCTTCGACCGATGTCTTCCAGCGGTCATTTTGAACATGGCTGCAAGAAACAACAGTGTGTTCATATAATGGATAGTACTATCAATGCGACAAACCACACCGATAAATGTAATTAACTATCCCGATCCCGGAAACATACAAATGAGGCCACTTGACAGAAACATTTAGCTAGAAATTCATAGGTAATATTATCAGTCCCCGAGACAGTTTCTATTAAGGGGTTAAGAGAAGGGTACAAATGTAACGTTTCCCGTCAAATATCAATGATTGTGAGTACACGTATGTCACCAATGGGTATTCATATCATCTCGTGGCGTTCTGTGTTCTTATGATTGAGAAATATTATTGATATGGAGTGCCTGTATGGGGGACAAGTGCACAATGCGTTTATCTCGCAAATGAGACTGTTTGAAGCGGGCACGGTCGGATTCATTATAGTGCAGAGATGCGTCTCATGTGCGTACTAGGATCCTATGATTGTCGGTTCGAATCCAAGATTCGCCCCGATGATGATCCTTGGTTTGTCACCTCCACACCTTTTCTTGTGATGTTTTCAAACACGATACACGTCTAGGACCACCACCCCCACATACCCGGGGCGTTTTAAGACGACACGCTGGGGAAGAAACTATTAACTACAGTTCAAAAGCAGCTTTAAACCAAAAACACTCGTGAATAAGAAAAGTTATTTATCTGAGAAACTTTCTACAATCGAGAAGTATAATAGTCATTTGCCTTCATGTACACCACGTTAGGACCCGGGTTAGATAGATCTCCGGCAACATAATTAAACCGGGTGGTCAAGCTGGCTGACTTGACTGATGGCATAATATAATATAACCATAATAATATGATTTGCCTGCTCTGGACACGACTATTAACATGAATCTGACTGATTGCGGTATTAAACGAAATGGGATCCTACTTTTGGTGTTAAACAACAAACAAACCTACCTATCTAGCTGGGGAGTATCAGAAAACAGCACAGGGGTCAGTATCCAACTCTACCCACATCCCTTCTCGAACCAATGTTCCCGTAGTTAAAAACGGACTGTTTTAATAATACCACGAACAATGCTTGACTGATTGACTGCTTAAATCTATAGGAACACTGACTTACTGATATGAAGGGGCTAATGAGGCATGTTATAATCGTCTTATGTCACTTTGCCGGGCGCCTTGTGTAATTGTAAGCGATTAATAGAGCGGATACACCGATTTGCCGTCTGTAGTCTGTATTAATGGGCAATGCTTCACTCCCACAGCAGCATTCCAAATTCACGTGGAGGCAGACGACATGTTATACATCCTGGATATGCGTATAGCGCGACGAGTACGAAAGGAGGTCGCGTCCATTGGAAATGTTGCAAGGCAGGTTGTGCTTCAACAATCAAGACGGTCGTCGACGTCCTCAGCACCTACAGAAACATCCTTTCCCGCCTCAGGGACGACGTCGGACTGCAAGCAGACGAGTTCCTGGCCCAGTTGAAAGTCCGCAGTTATTCAGAATCATTCAAGGCAATTTCCCTTAATATATGTAACATCAACGGTAGTTCTGTCGATAAATTAAAACGTTTAATACATCAGCAATGTATAGAATTATTGCAGATAAATCAAATGTTTTTGAATCTTATATTTTATTTGCAGAGCTCCGAGCTGAGGTCAGAGATACCCATTCCAGTCACTACCCCTCTCGACGAGATTCCCACTCTACCCCTATCTTCCCGAAGAGAGAGAGCTAACTGACTATAAAAGTCCAGTTTCAACCCTTCCCCAACTAGGCTGGTATTATAGAGTTACATTTTGGCTGGACTAAGGAGTCTATGCATAGTCCAATCAGAATCGCGCAACGAAATCGAAATCCGGTTCGTAATCTGTCGTACAGATTTCGGTCGATTGCAAGATTTGCAAAGCATGTGCACCGCCAACTCGTTGTCAACAGGTATTTCATGTTTTTAATCAAGGTGCTCACGTGATTTGATACATTTCGCGATATAAGACCCATTTTATCACAACACAGATTTTGATTATCGATCAGATCATCCTGACAGAGCACCGCCATTTTGTTTGAAGCAAATGCAAGAGATACGACAAGTGGAATCTGATTGGTCCATATAGGAGAGGCGTAAAAGGGACATACAGTCAAGTCTCGTTAATCCGACATCGTTGGTTGCACATGATTGTGTCGGATTAACGAGTATGTCGGATTAACGAAATTAAGTGATTTGTGATCGAAAATCGGACATCTTCACGATAGATAATAACCGTGTGTTTCCTCGTGTAAATGCAAGTGCTACTGTCTTAACAACTTGCTTCATCTACTTAAAATAGTATGTCAGTGTTTTCTGTTTCTCACATTTTGAAGGCACATTTCTCAAAGTCCCCTGTTCGCTTGACGTCTAGGGCTGGTGGTTCTTCAGCATTAATAAAGCTTGAAATTCTTTATGATCCCGGCATCTAGTGTTAATTGTTAAAGTTAATCTCTGCAGCCGGTGCGTGTCAAAACACGGGGTTGTGTACTCGCGGGCAGATGACCACGGAGTACGCTGACCACTGTGTCGGATTAACGAGACTGATTAATGAGTGATTTCGGTAATTCGTTGCAAATTAGGTGTGTCGGAGTCGGAGTGCGAGAATGTCGGATTAACGGGACTAAATAGCGCTGAATCAATCGGTTCCCATCATTTGTGGTCGGATAAAGCCGAGTGTCGGATTAACGAGTGTCGGATTAACGAGACTTGACTGTAACTCGTAATAGACACTGGTGGCGCTACGATCAAGCCAAGGAATTCCAGGCTTGTTGGGCAACTGGACTTAAGTCAGTCAGTTAACTCCCTTGCCTCGAGAAGATGACACTACCCCGTCTGCGCCAGAGCGTCGAACTTCCAGACAGGTCTCTAAGACCACCGCTAGGTGGAGCCTACAAAACAGCGACTGTGTGACACATTTCATCAGGCGCTATTTATGAGAAGATTTATTGTATTATTAAAAACATGTCACGACCTCACGAACTAGATAATAGACTATCAAATAATACATGTACATTTTTAGTGTTATCATGGTTAGAAGTTAAACATGGCAATGGGTAGTAATTACAGATAATAAGTAACACGACCATTTTTATAGGAATTTGCACTTATTCGTTGGCGATCTGATTAAAAAGAAGGAATTGCATTCCGTTTTAGTTCCGCGTTACCACTTTTTATACGCTGCTATATTTAGCGACGATGGCGGACATCGATCAGTAGCACTGGCATGAGCGCACTTTGCAAAGGGAGTTAAAGTAAAAAACACTAGAAGTGCGGGTGATTTTGTTCTAAATAACTGTTTGTCGATTAAAAAACGTAGTTGCATGCGACACTTATTATTCTCAATGATTTTATCCCAGTTCTGGTCTATTTAAAATACATCTTTCAATATTTATAAGAAGAAAGGAAAGCAAAATGGAATATGTCATCATCCATTAACTTCATTTTCAATCATTCCCTTGGAAATGTATTAGTTTAACATGGTTGGTACACATTTTACTATTAGTGAAACATTATTCAATAAAATGCTTTGATTTTAGCATTTATTTAAGATTACTCTGTTGTAGTCAAGTAAAGTATCTTTAATTTGAAATTTGTCTTGTTATTCTTCAAATGTTAAACATCTGTTGATGCTACATAAATCTTTTAAACTATGAATACCCTTATTAAAATGAAATAATTTCTAAACTGGTGACGGATAAAATTTCCTCAAAACTTTGTTTGTTAACTTTATGTGTTCTGTAGTAATTACCCCAAATATTCAATATATCCCTCCAAAAGGGATTTTTCAGAGTAATAAGCTAATCAACATTTGCACCAAAATGGAAGATCTGTTTATTATATGCTGGAATATGTCTGATCATTGCTTATAAATACATTGCAGATGTGATGGAAAATACACACCAAAATAACAGCTCGAAATAAGGACGATACATGTTAAAATACATTAACATTTCATAAATGTAAATAGCTTAAGCGCAGTTTGTTATCTGGAAAATTTTATAATTAAAACATGGGTAGATTTATTTATGTTAATGTCGTATTATAAATGCGTAGTCTGCTCGTCATATGATGGACGCTTATTAACAGATGTCACCATGTGGCATGGTCTCGAATAACAACGAGAGCAGGGTCTACAAATGGAACGTGCTCTGGATACTTCAGCTTTACAATATCTGCTCAGGTCTCAGCCAATTCCCACCACAGGAGGATATACAGTAAAGTACGTTTATAACGAACACGCTTATAACAAACTGACGGATATAAGGAACTGATTTTTTTGTCCCGACTATTTGCAATAGTTGTGCTGTATATATGCTTATAACGAACTACGGTTATAACAAACTAAAGTTAGAGGTCCCTTTGAGTTTGTTATAACCGTAGTTTACTGTAGTAGTAATTAAGTTCATGACACCATGCATGGGTATGAGGTGTGGTGAAATGGGGTTTAAATCACGTCCAAGATTATTGCACTTATCTCGCGACGTGCATGCATGTGTATTTGTGTGTGGCTGCTTGTACTAGTCCGGACTGATGCCGATTTATAGTGCTAGCTCACTGAGATACCATGCCGCAGTTTCACATGAATACCCCACCCAGACACAGTATACTTCTTTTAGCCCCTTAATGCTGAGCGCCAGACAGGGTAACAACAAGTACCATCGTTTAACGTCTTTTGGTATGACGCAGTCGGGGATCTAACCCCCAACCATCCGCTCTCCGGGCGGACCCTCTACCATTAGACCACGGAGGCGGTCTGCATGTATTTGACCTGTAATAATATGTGTTACAAAATACGGTTTGGGGGCCTTGATAAAATACACACCACCGCTAGTATATTCTAATCAATTCAACTGCATAATTGAATTCGATTTCTTGTACATATTACATTACATCACGACATATAATTTTGACAACCCATGAAGATCCGGGTTAGAATATATCTTTAGCAACCCATCCTTGTCGTTAGAGGCGACCAACGGGATCGGGTGGTCAGGCTAGCTGACTTCGT